ATTTACTTAGTAAGAAAAAAGTTTTAGAAGAAATCTCTTCACATTTGGCTTAATAGTAAAATTTATTTATAAAATTTTTAGATTCTCTCCAGATGATAGATGAATTGTCTATTAAATAATTAAGCAATTAAGAAAATTTTAGGCGATTCCAGTTTCCAACAACATAAACTATTAAATTTTAATACAATAAATATTTATATGCAATATATACATATTTATTATATTAATTTATTATTATATATAATATATTTATTATTTTAATTTTTATTTAATTTTTTAATTGATTGTTTTTTTTTTTTTTTAAAAATAAAAAAAGGTTTACAGAGCAAATAGTTAATCTTTTAAAACCATTTGAAGAAATTACAAGACATATTTGTGGATCAAAGTATTCTACTTTGAATCTTGTATATCCCTATATTCGTATTTTAAAAAATAAATTCGCACCTAGAAGTGAAAATAGTGAATCATTTGAAGATTAGATTAATCTAATCTACGGTTCAGAGAAGTCAGATACTAGTGATTCGAGTCTTAATAGTAAAAATGAAGTTGACATACCGTTAGCAGGAAATCGACAACAATAGCAATATGTACACCGAAGTAGATATTGTAATAAAGGTTGTTCAAACTATAAAAAAAAATAAAAAGCAAAAAAAAAACATTTACGGAATTAGAAGATTCTAATACCGTTGAGTATTTCTTACCTGTAAATTGTTCCGAGTTTCTGAAAAAAAGCACGGGCTGCTATTTTTTTGTTCATTAATGAATTATGGAATACATCTAATATAATAGGTTTAAAAGCTTCCATTTTAGACCTCTGAGCATTAAAATTACTTTCATTTGCAATGGCTCAAAAACGAGAAGAAACTGAAGCTCAAATCTATGCTAAATTATCATTACTTGAAACACAACTAAATGTTTTAAATAATATTGAAGTAGAAAGAAGCACAGTAACTATTAATGAGGATCCTCAAGATTCTCTAAGTGCTAAATTATGGGGATCATTGTCACTGCCTAATAATATTACTGCTGAAGATGAATTCACCCAATATATGAAAGAACTATTAGCTCATAAAAACAAAAACCCTTTAATATAGTGGGAAGATAGACATATAAATTTTCTACTTCTTAGCCAACTTGCCTATAAATACTTGTCTATCTCTGCTATATCAGTTTCATCAAAATGCTTATTTTCTGATATGAATACTTACATTTCTGCTAGAAAAACTTGTCTTGACCCTAATTTGGTAAATAAAATGTTTTTAAAAAAAATGCAAATCATCATACCATGTTTCTATCTAAAAATAAATAATTCTGTCCTTATTGATTTTTGGTTAATCCATAAACTTTAATTTCACAAGTGCACTAGCAAAATATATATATGTCTATAATTTTATTATTATTATATATACATATGACCTAATAACATTAATGAAAGGATTTTACTCAAATTAACAACTCTAAGAACAAATACTGTAATAAACAATTAACTTATACTAACCAAACATTATTAAAAAAAAAAACGCTAATACGATATCATAATAGTATACGACAACTACAAGGCGTACAAGCTCGTTTAAGAGTGTAAATATATAAAGAAACATTTATAAAGAAAAAAATTAATACACCATATGAGTGCTGTCAAGGGAAAATGTAACTTCGGACTTTCAATTACATTTTTGACCGGACACAATCCTTAATAAATTGAATAGAAAGTGTTCGGTCAAAATGTAATTGAAAGTCCGAAGTT